CAGCTGGGCATGGTGGCACATGCCTGTAATCCCAGCTACTCAGGAGGCTGAGGCAGGAGAATTGCCTGAACCCAGGAGGTGGAGGCTGCGGTGAGGAGAGATCGTGCCATTGCACTCCAGCCTGGGTAACGAGAGCGAAACTCCGTCTCAAAAAAAAAAAAGAATATTTTTATCCAACCTTGGGGAGATTGGGATGATGCCTAAGAGAAGAACCAACTTAGGTTTCCAGAAGGACCTATTGGGAGATCTGTTTCAAGTACCAATAATGTCTCTTCTTCAAAGATGTGGGCGTTGGTGACCCATTATTGTAGATTTTATACAATCTTTGGAGCTATAAGTGACCTTAGAGATCATCCAGTTTAATGGATTTCAAATATTAATCCAGGTGTCCCATCCTCAAAAATTTCCAGGGAGCTGCTGCAGAAGCTTCCCCGGTGATGTCATTGTGCAGCTGGATTTGGAAGTGAATGCCTAAGGTATTCACTTCAAGGTTCATCCTTGAAAAGTGGATTGTTTCCACTTTTTGGCTCTTATGAATAATGCTTCTATAAACATTTGTATATAAGTTTTTGTGTGGATATGTTTTCTTTTCTCTTGGGTATATATCTAGGACTTTTATTGCTGGGTTATATGTTAAATCTATATTTAACCTCTTTAGGAACTGCCAGACTGTTGTGCATAGTGGCTACAATATCCTACATTCCCACCAGCAATGCTTGTTTTTTTGTTTATAGCTATCCTAGTGGGTGTGAGGTAGGTATTTCATTGTGGTTTTGATTTACCTCTCCCTAATGACTGATTACAGTTGACCCTTAAACAACGTGGCTTTGAACTGCGTGAGTCTACTTATACCAGGATTTTTTTCAACAAAATGAGGATATTTGTGAATGTGAAACTCATGTATATGCAGGGCTGACTTTTCATATACATGGGTTTCACAGTGCAAACTGCAGGATTTGAGAATGCACAGATATTGGCATATGAAGGGATCCAGGAACCCATTTCCCCCAAGTTTAGTGAGGGACAACTGTATGTTGAAGCCCAGAATTGGAGGAAGCCCTGGTTGGGTTAACAAAATACTTCAGTTAATGCTTAGATGGGTTTTGCTTAGCTATCTGATGGGCACAGTTTATGTGCCAGCTTATTAATGGATAATTTATCAGGGTTCTGCAGAGTCATTCAGTCGTTTACTGTTTTGGAGGATTGTCGTTCCAAAATACTAACATTTCATAGCATTTCTTATAGCACAGTTCACTCCCTGGGAGATCATTAGGTTTCCATAAAGACCTCCTTGAGAATGGCTCTGGCTTATGCCAGACAAAAGAGAAACCTTATATATGGCCTGTGATCAAAACCAGCCTTACTCCAGCTTTGCACATGAAGCTAATATGACCTGGAGCCTGAAACATCAGAGCCTAATTGTCTGGGTTCCATGATAGCCATCTCCCTTGGCGAAGAGGCCAGTAACTGCTTCATGTTTGTTTCCTGATAATTGGCAGAGCCTTCTGACTTGATGTCAGTCTCTTTGTATTTGTCAGTGCCACCAAGAAGTGTCAAACTGGCATCATACAAGTTCTTCCTTTACAAGGAAGGGTAGGTAGGATAACCAAACTGGGAAAATGATTGAATTAGGGATTACTGGTCCGATCCTTTATTTCTAGTGCCTCTCCTGGGTAGCCTGAAGTGATATCACCTCAACCAAACCTACCATTTCCAAATTTCTTATCCATAAAATGAAGATAATGTCATGTTTTACTTACCATGAGGTGATTATTTATCCGATAAGTTGATTCTTTTTGGATGGAAGACATAAGATATGCAGAGTAATAGGAAGATGTATTGAACTTTCTAGCCTTCTTGTCAGATTAACACAGCTTAGGTTGTCCACTTATGAAAGCTATGGCGATGTCCTAATAATGGTTGTCAAGGTACTGACATGTCTATGGCAACCACTACTTGGTTCATAACAACCAAACTCACATCTCCTTACCTTGTATGATTATAGCTAATTACTAAAGGAACTTTTAGTCATCATAGTTTTTATTAGTTTTACAAAATATTTATATATAATTTACTGTGTGCCAGGGCTCATTAAAGCACTTTATACACATTAATTCATTTAATCCTTACTGCAACATGACAAAGTAGGGGCTATCATTCCTACTTTTCAGAGATGAAATTATTCACAAAGGGTTTATATAACTTGCTAAATGTTACCCTAGCTGATAAATGGTAAAGCCAGCATTCAAACCTAAGCATTCTGGCTTCAGAATCCGTATGAGGTCAAAGGTCTCGCAGACCTCATGTACCAGAGAAACTGCCTCTGCTCTGGGTAACTCTATCTCTTCTAGCCAAAATGTATCATACTTAGTGGACTTTTTATAAAATGCTTTATTTTTCTTTCTTTTCTTTTTTTTTGAGACAGAGTCTCGCTCCATCGCCAGGCAACCAGACTGGAGTGCAGTGGCGCGATCTCAGCTCACTGCAACCTCTGCCTTCTGGGTTCAAGCAATTCTCCTGCCTCAGCCTCCCAAGTAGCTGGGACTACAGGCATGCACCACCATACCCAGCTAACTTTTTTTTTTTTTTTTGGATTTTTAGTAGAGATGGGATTTCACCATGTTGGCCAGGATGGTCTCAGTCTCTTGACCTCATGATCTGCCCGCCTTGGCCTCCCAAAGTGCTGGGATTACAGGCATGAGCCACTGCGCCTGGCCAAAATGCTTTATTTTTCAGAATGGTTTTAGCTATACAGAAAAATTGCTAAGACAGAACTGTTTGTAACCACCCTCAACACCCAGTTTCTCTCACTGTTAACATCTTAGGATGTTGCATTTGTTACAATTAATGAACTGTTACTAACTGAAGTCCATACTTCATTCAAATTTCCTTAGTTTTTACCTAAGCTTCTCAGATTTTGTTTGTTTTGTTTTGTTTTTAGAGACAGGGTCTGGCTCTGTTGCCCAGGCTGGTACACTGGTGTGATCATACCTCACTGCAGCCTCAAACTCCTGGGCTCAAGCAACCCTCCTGCTTCAGCCTTCCAACTACCTAACTGCAGGCATGCACAACCATACTTGGCTAATTTATTTTTTATTCTTTTTAGAGACAGGGTCTTACTCTATTGCCCAGGCTGGTCTTGAACTCCTGACCTCAAGTGATCTTCCCACTGTGACCTCTTAAAGGGGTGGCATTATAAGCATGAGACGCCACACACAGCCACTGTATTTGTCTTTGATGACCTTGACAGGAATGTTCATCAGGTATTTTGTAGAATACCCCTCACTTGGTGTTTATCTGATGTTTTTCTCATGATTAGACTGAAGTTATGTGTTCTTGGGAGGAAGGCCACAGAGGTAACATGCCATCCTCATCACATCATATCAAGGATACATGGTGTCAACATGACTTATTAGTGATGATGTTAACCTTGATCACTTGGCTGAGGCAGTGTTTGTCAAATTTCTCCACTGTAAAGATACTCCCCCTAGTCTATACTCTTTAGAAGGAAATCAGTATGCATTGGCCACACTTATGGAATGGGGAGTTATCCTCCACATTTTTGAGGTGGAGTATCTACAAAAGTTGTTTGGAATTCTTCTGCATTGGGGGGGGTCCTGTCTATTCTTACCCATTTGTTTATTAAATCATTTATTTATACAGTATGGGTTCGCATATATTTATTTTATACTCTGATTATAATCCATACCACTTTATTTTCTTGCTCAAATTGTTCCAACTTTGGCCTAGGGATCTCTTTCAGTTGACTCCTCCCTCTGTCATACTCTCATCATTGTAGGTTTTTAAAATTATTATTATTATTATTTTTTTTTTTTTTGAGACGGAGTTT